TTGGTAGAGATTAGGAACACATCACTGCCTTCCAAATAACATACTGAAAATTTTTGTAACGCCTCCTGGCCATTTCTGAGCATGAATAGTTCTCTCCATCTTGAATATAGAGTAAAAATGACATATGTTGATGTTAGGCCAAGATGTCATCTTTCGTTTGCAGAGACTTTGTTCAATACGATTTATGAGGTATAAAATGTGGCTTTTAAAAAGACAGAGTCAGTACAACTCCAACTGTTCTGTGTGCCATTGCATCAAATGGACATGAGTACAAAACAGAAGAAGGATCTTACAAGCAGGCTTGTGCCTGTGTTTTTAACTGTGAAGTAAAGTAAGTGACTTTCTTGTGTCAGTAAATTCCAGCTTACATCCATGCTAAAAAATTGTATTTCAGCTGCATGATGTCCGGTGATGCGTTTTCATTGCATATTTTATGATATATAATGAAAAAATTCATGCACAATCTCAGCCATCATGGGTTTCTGATAAATTTTTAAAATTCTGTCATTTAAAAGGGGCATCTGGGTTTAAAATAGAATTTACACATAAAAATACTTAACAGCTAAACCTTAACACTGAAACAAATGTACTTGCTTACATAGAAATATAATTACATGTACTACCGATCAGCACACATAAAACTCCTAAATGGTCTATTTAGGTGAATAGTTCCAATTTTGTAGTGTGAATTTGGTTGATAGTAATTTTCGGGTGTGAAATTTTACGATGAACTAGGCCCAGATGTAATGTCAGAAGTCAGTATGGATATGATAATCAGTTGTATAATTAACTCGTTTTTTGGCTTTAACTTTGATAAAAATGACACATTTTTTACATGCCTAACACTGACATGAAGTAAGAGAATCTGAAATCCTAGAACCTATAATATTTCACAAACACTGGAATGGCTATCCTATTGGGCTATCACTTAACGGGATCAGTATGAAGTTCACAAACAGAAGGTTGGACTCAGTGTCTGTCATGACAATTATTTTGGTAGACATGGACAGAAGATATCATTATGTGGAATATTTTCACAAGGTATTGCATGCATCAGGACCTGATCATAACCCAAACTGTTTACTTTACAAATGATATGGCTATAGATACCTTTATTATGAAAACAAGAAAGAAAATCCCCTGCTGAGAATCACAACAGCTTCTGCTTAATGAAGAATAATAGGATCTCAGTTTAACTCTAGTAGAAAAGGGAGATAATGTTAAAGTTACACTAATTGTGTAGAATGATGGAACAGCATGGACAGAAAGCAACATGACAACAAATTATCTAAATGTTAAAACCAACCAACCATACCAGCCTTAAAGGTAATAGGTTAAGTCACCTCCCATTAGATAGGATATCAATATTATGGGAAAATAGACTAAAATATGGGGATCATGTAATAAATAATAATATTTGGTATATTTGAGATTAATTCAGATTTTCCAAATAACAAGTGGGTTGTAAGTGTAAAACCTGTGTTCTATTACACCATAAAAGTATCTTTTTATGAATGATTAAAACTCTGTTTGCCTATCCAAATTCTAACCACTGTGTTGTGGAGAATCTGAAATTCAGAAAATTATTTATTAAAATCCTATAAGCTGATGTGGAACATGTATTGAAAATGTATTGACCTATTTGCCCAAAATATGGTATAACAAATATCAGCTAAGTTTTAGTTTAATAATGATGATCGTTACTTTGTTCTTCAAATTTTCAGTCACAGTTAATCTCAATTTTTGTAATTCCTACTTTGTCTCTTTTTCAACAGCTTGAATAAATTTTGTGTACTTGAGCATGCTTTAAATTCTTTGTGTTTTTTTATGCTTCATCTTCAACATCAAAGGACGAAATGACATCATAGATTTTCAGAAGACAGATTCTAATCTTTGTATTAATGCTATAAGTACTGAAGATTAGAGGTGCCCAAGCTTTATAACACTTACTGCAGATTTAATGACAGTGATCTGTGAGTGACCTTTAAGGGAACAAATGATGAGCAGATCCCACAAAAGAAACCTGTACCATTGAGGTCGTCATATTCTCATTTACAATGGTTGTTGAAATCATAATTCCAAATGTCATGCCAGATCATCTCTACCTAGACAATTGTGATCTTCTTATTACCTAATCAACACATAAACTAAAGGTCACATGAAAATTATAACTTTAAAGGACATGTCTGTGTTGTCCAATGTAATTGACAGTTCATGTAGAAAGGAGCAGGTTACATGATTCATAATTTCAAAATGCATATTAAACTTTTTATTCATCCCATATTTTTTGCCTGGGGAAAGATTTCTAATCCACTTTAAATTCAAATGCAAGACTTTCTAATCAATTTAAAGGATCACTAATTTCAAAACTTAATTCAGATTTGAAGATTGGAGAAAAATTAATATGATTGGGCAAAAGTAAAACAAAAGATGAGCAAGACAAATTAACATAGCTTAAAAGTTTGATTTAACTTTAGAATTTGTTTTATAAATGCCATAACCAAGACTGTCGCTATAGCCATATTCTCGTATAATTTTGATCAAAATATATCGGAGTAAGCAAACAATACACCTACAATAATAATCTTCCGATTAAAACAAGATTAGGCAATCAAGTTTAGTTTCTTAATAATAAAAAAAGCCACCACAGCTATAGTCTGTTCTGTTATCTTCGCCACACGACTGAATTAAAATAAGGTATGACGTTGCAAAAAGGACACAAGGTTTTTAAGACGTACTTTGTGAATTGAATTCCAAGTTATATTTGACTCTATGTTAACTTTTTAACTTTGAATTTGCGTGTTAAATAATTTTGATTAAATTTAATTAAGCATAAGTTCACAAATTCAAAAGATATTGCTGTGAGTACATGACAAGAAAGGCACAAGTATCTGCCTCTTTTGGATTATTGAAATATGTTCATAATGAAAAAGGAATGAAGGCGTGTATTATTTGTTGACTAACTGATGTGATGCCGATAATGGATGGTAACTATTGAATTGCGGGAATGGAACCAGGGACTGTTTTCTGTTTGAGTATTCAAAAACATTCAATAAAGTTTTGCCGTAGACCATGACAAATATTTATTGCAAATCACCGTTGTGACCTTAAATATCACCCAAAGTCTTTGACATTGAAAACACAAATTATCTGCCTATTTAAATCAACTTTGATGTTATTGTGATCCTGGGCTTCTGATATCCAATATTTAAGACAAAATAAACATTTTACCATTGGCACACGAATCGTGTACCATAATGCATTTCAGTGCCATTTGTAACAAGGGACCGGAAGAACGAGGCTAGACATATTCCACAAGTCATGTCAAACGGTGACAACATATTCTTATCTGGAGAGCATACGCTATAAATAGTATATAGACTGGAATAACCAGATGCTAGAGATTGCCATTTGATTGAGACTTCTGATGTATTTCACTGAAATTAGAGTAAAAACAGAAATGATTGAATGTAAATCAGTTTATATACATTCATATTACATTATTATATGAGTTGTAACACATTTGTGTCAATTTCTAGGTCCCAAATATTAGCGATTTAACTCAAACAAATCAGGGTTTGAATAATTTACAAAACCAACCCACTTTTTCCATAATAATTCGTACTTGGTATCTACCTTTGTAAGCCTGACATATTTCTCAGTCACACAATTAAAGATAATGCGGCATTAGCAAATTTACTTTAATATATTTTAATCCAGTCCCAAGTAATAATCTATAACAATACTAGACCAGAAAGGCCTGTTGTTAACAACGCTTTTACTGTATATAGAATTTGTCAATCCACATCAGCTTGTGTATACAGTAATAAGATGTGTAGTCCCTGTGACGTCACGCACCAATCAACTGTATTAAGGCTGTAATCGAAAATTTGAGAGGACTTTTAGAGTGTCTGACACATAATGATCATATATTATAATTTTAATCAGATTGGTGTGATATTAGCCAAATTGTTTATAATAAACACGGGCTTCAAGTACATACAACTTTCATGTGGTCATTTGATGAGCTCTTTAAGCTAAAACTGAAGAGAGAAACAACTTGTTATTTGGGATTTAATGCAGTGTTACACATTAGTGTATAGATTAATACTCAGACATGTCGTGGTAACACTATATTATACTACACCCCCTCTCTTTAATTCCTTTTTAACATGGACAAAAAAAGGTTTTAAGGGCTTAACTGACAAGTGGTATTATAGGTTAAAATGAAATTTAAGTCTGCTGGTATGTAATTACTATATATCCAGGCCAAGGTTTAAAATTACTACATATCAATTCATGTATATGATAAAAATTTCAATAATGGTGGGTATTTAAGTTATTTTAATATTTTTGAAACATGCATGACCGAGGTTAAGCAAGTGCTTAAAGACATGGGAATAATTTAATCAATTTTGCAACCAATGATATGAGAGCATTTTAGAAGTATATCCATATAGATAGACATATCTACAAGTATGTCACCTTGATTTGATTGTTGTATGACCAGGTTACAAGATTAACACTTATTACTTCCTTCTTAATTGATAGATGTAAGTAAATCGGCATGAAGCCCCATTATATAATTTAATAGCTAAAGGGGTCTGTATAACACTTTGAAGTGATTTCGTAAATCTTGTGTGGAAAAAAGGAGTTTTTACCTCGACAATATGCCAGCTTTAACTGTTCACATACATTATGTAAGAAATCTCCTTAAAGAGTCATTTTACTGAAAATATTTGGATTAGTTTGGACAAGAAGTGGGTACTTGAAGTTAAGCCTTTAAGAGCTTTGTCATGGATTATGAGTACATGTATACTGTTATAACCCACCTGTTACTGGTTATTTTTTTTTGATTTGGATATGATGAGATAGGTTGCAGGGAATGAGATGTTGTGTTAGTAACATGGGTCACTCAGTCCTGGTGCCCTATTTTGTCAAAGGACACAATTCTACACTGTCAAGCTGCCAAAACCCCTAAGCTTTTCCTTTCCTTTCAGATCCTACTACTGTGACTACTGCCGCTGATCAGAAAGAGTACATATGCACAGTTGAGATGCTCCTTAAGGAAGAAGTTTTCTATGAATGTTTAAGAATCAAAGTTCTCCATGGCTGTCCTTATTTACTGTCTCATAAAGAATTTCATAACTTATTTTTTCAACAAATCTCTTTGCCCTAGTTGATCACTTATTTCTTGAGAGGCACTTATTTCTTGAACACATCTCTTTTACCGCCCCGCGCCCACCCCACCAGCCTGTCTGGTTACACATAACTTGTTGGCTAAGAATGAGAACATTCCAGTTTCTTCTCTTGAGTATTTCTACTGTCAAAGAAATTATATTGAGGAACCAAAATAATTTATATTGTATGCTTACATTGTCCAAAGAACTTCTGCAGTGCTTGCAATTCCAAAAGTACTGTTTTAGTGATGCTTTCTACACCATGTTACTTTTATCTTGAGGTGAAAAAAAAAAGAAACAACAAAAAAGAGAAATAATCATTATTTCACAATTCTAATGTTTAACATGGGATGTGATGATAAGAATTTGTTCATGTAAGGACTAAGAAGCTTTGTTTACCTATCTGAATATCGATTATACATTTTTCATATCTTTCAGGCAATGAAATTTAAGAAATAAACTGCGATTTTTGTTGGAAAAAATGATTGATGTGACCTATGGCAAGAATATAGATTACCAATTGATAGAGCTTTCACAGGCTGTTAAAAAAACATGGTCTTTGAAATTAACACATTTCAAAATTTCAACAAGTCAGTGATACTGGTATCTTCAGACTCAGAGAGTATCAGTAGTTCAGAAGTTTATGATGTGCTTATGGAAATAAAGTAACCTATACCACCATAATGAAATTAAAAGATTTTGTAACTCCCAATATCTACATTTAAATCAGACTTTTGGCCAAAGCATTAAAGTGGTAGGTTAAAACATAAACTTCTAAACACTCTTCATCCGTACAGGTGTTCTTGAATGCAATAAATCAAATTGTTATTTTCTTCTCACTCTTTGCAAGTTTAATAATATTAACATTAAAATGACTAGACCCCTTTGATCTGTGTACCGTAATTTAAATTTATTTGATGTATCGATTTGCTGGGGTGGGGGCAGAGGCGTAGCCGTGAAATATATATTGGGGGGGTCCGCAACCCTAACCCCTAACCCTAACCCATTTTTTAAAACCCCTAAAAAATATAAACAAACACCATGTGGCCATGCTGTCTACCAAGACACCGCGTGCAAAAGCATTATGGTTACGTTGCTGGCTAAGCGGGCGATAAATATTTGGTTTAGGCGGTTATGTTTTTGGGTACCTACATGCGATTCACTCTGATAAGTGGCAGAAAAAAATTAACAAAATATTACTGACAGGCTAACTAGACACAATTTTATGGAACACAGATACTTTTCACTCCACACATGTTTCCAGGATGATTATCTCTGTGTTTTATTTTTGCAGTATAAACCATATTGGGATATGTACAGGTTTTATACAGATAAAATCTTAAAGTTGCAATTTCATATTTTTAAGTTATATTTTTAAAATTTATTAAAATAAAGCCTTAAAATAAATGGTATCTATAAACAGTCCTACCTTGTTAAAGAATAATCCTATTAATTCTATAATTCACTATTGCCAGTTGAGAAATTGGCAAAAATATCATTTTAAACTTTAAATTCAAATGTTTGAAGATAGCTATTCCATGGGGGGAATAGAAAAACAAGGGAGTTAATTGTGTTATTATTTCCGGGGTCAAAGGATTTTTAAGTGGGAGAATAATACCTATGATCGTATAATAGTGAGTTGACAACCTATCGAGCAAAAGACATAGAAATAATTATGTTTTGACTTTCTTAGAAAATATGAAATTATCGCTTTAACTAATCCTAATAATTGTTGTAAATAAATAGGAGTTTGGGCCCACCACTATGTAAATTTGGGGGGGGGGGTCCAAGTATATTCAGCCCCCCCCCCCAAAAAAAAACAATTGGGGGGTCGGACCCCCCCCCCCCATATGTGACGCCCATGGGTGGGGGTAGGGGATTATCAGGGATTCTTCCTCATGAAAATTTAGAAAAATCAGAGTGATTTGTTGCGTATATCAGCCACATTACCCCGACCAACAAAAAGCTCAAATTTACAAGTTTCATTGAAACAAAATTGTAAGTGAATATTTTAGATTGTCATTTAGGAGGGGCCCGCCGGGCCTTCACCTGAATTTGCCATTGGATAGAGCTAGTGTTGAGATAAAGCGGATTTTGTCTGCACTGATATTTCAGGCCAAATACACAAGTAAAATAAGTAACCAATTACTGACTTCTAATCATATAGATTTTATCCTTTCATAAATTGAAATAACATTCAGATCAACTCAATACAACACTTTATTTTGACCTAAATCAAAGAGGTTTATATCTTTAATAAAAATTGTAAATGCAGATATTTCTCTGTAAATGACCACAGTGTTTTTGCAGTTCCATCACATAGTAGATTGTAATCTTCATAGTTTACACTGAATAAATTAATTTATGGGCCCTAAAAACAGAGCCCGGCTGAAAATTGACACCTCTTCATTCCTGCACCATGATAAATTGTTACACCGTGGCCCACTAAAAAATTGAAGGGCCATTTTTTAATCAACCTGTGTTAATTAAAAAGAAAGTATATTGACAAAAACAAATAATAAGAGAAAGTATTTAAAGTAGCTATTTGTCAATTCAAATCAACATTGATCTTGTGATCTTATGGGGAAAAGATGGGCTTCTGATATCCAATATTCAAGACAAAATAAACGTTTTACCATTGGTACACGAATCGTGTACCATAATGCGTTTCAGTGCCATTTGGAACAAGGGACTCAAAGAACGAGGCTAGACATATTCAACAAGTCATGTCAAATGGTGATGCTATATACTTATTTGGAGAGCATGCGCAATAAATACCATCGGTTTAGACTGGAATAACCAGATGCTAAATATTGTCATTCAATTGAGACTTCTGGCTTATTTCCCCGAACATAACTGATTAGAAATTACAGCAAAACAGAAATGATTGAATGTAAATCAGTTTATATACATTCATATTACATTATCACGTGTTGCGACCCATTTGTGTCAATTTCTAGATCCCAAATATTAGCGATTTAGCTCCTTTAAAACTGTTAATGAGACTGGCAAATGTTTTTATGGTCGAGGGGGCATGGTTAGAAAAAAATTAATGCTCGTCTTACTCTCGATCTGTTGTTGGGCTTGATCCACACTTGATGATCAAATCAAACTTTTTATTCTTAAATTAATATATTTTTGTTTATCTACCTCTACTTCAACATACTAACAGTCTTATATGCAGGTAAAAATAGACATGCGTTTACTTAAATCTCTGGAATTTACATGTGCTAAGTAACATAATAGTGATTGAGTGAAGATTAGGTTTAGTACCGTCTGCTACTAGCACTCAAATTAATCAGTTTAAATAGGTTTTTAGTGGTATATGTGTATATACTAACGTTAAATTTCTGAGAAGCATGTGACCGATACGACTGTTAAATTTATATTAAAGAGAGTTACATTGGTCTGTAGTTGATTACCTTTAGTAAGAATTATAATTAGCTGCCCTTTTGACCACTAGCGCAATTAATGAGAGAACTATAGGTAGATTATTTGTCTTGTATGAGTGACACTAACCTATACTATGAATGCATTGGCTCATGTACACTATGGTACAAGTATTTTAAGTACATTTATGATAGTTAAAATATGTAAGCACATGTATGTATTGTGATATAGTAAAACATAATGTTGTGTCATTAGACACGTCTGTTACATATTACATACATAAACTGTTACCCCTAATCATTGACAATGGAGTATTCCATTTTGGGAGGAGAGAAAAAAAATTAAGTGAAAACAGTGTAGACACAGGTTTCTTCCACAAGAAACTATCACCCAAAGGGGAGAGTGTGTACAATTTGACGGACAGCTGCCTTTCACTACAATGTTTAGGTCAGATTTAACTAGACCACTATGTGGGCAGTCAGCATGACGACTTAAAGGGACTCTCTTCACTTGGGTTATTTGAGTCAAAGATTTGTGCATTACATACTTCACACTTGAAGGAGTTAAGAATATTCACTTTAGTTAGAGCAAGTTGACTGGTTTTGAAGAGTGGAAAAAACAGACAGCTACCCAAGTTATATGATTAGACCAGTAGAGCCAAGTGTTTCTATTATATTTTGACTCTTTCTCTACATGATTTTAGTGTGTAGACCTACCTGGAGCATTTCTATTTCTTCATTTAGGAGAGTGAGTAGAACAACAATGTAACAGCAATAGCGAATTGGATAATTATATAATTAAGAAAGCTACAAGTATTAATTTCTCTGATTTTATAGTTTACTTAGTATAATCTGATTAGTGAAGTGAGTTGTGGCGTTGTGGTGCTACAGGATTTTATATATATTATTTATATCTCTTGTATTAGGAAGAGCTGCACTGGATTATATTTCTTGACTAGAAGTCTAGAACTTGTTCTTTTCAGGTAAGAATAAACAAATAGTTGCATGTACATTATATACCCACACATTGTAGTTGAGACAAGTAAATACTGTATATCAAACTACAAATGCTTTAAGTTTTTAGTTTCAACAGACTTCTGTTGTGAATGTGGACTGGAAGCAATGGTTTTTAAGGAGACTTTTATAGTTTTTTTAGTCTTATAAATTTTCAAATTATTTTTGTTTTAAATTTGTTTCAAAGCCTAATAAACATTTTAATTTAGTAACTATTATTATATTTTTATTTAGTAACTGACATAATAACATTTTAGTCTACTAACTACCGTAGGAATTGCAAAAACAAAGAATTTTTCTCAAGTTGTACACTTTTATTTATATTATGAGGTGTGTGCAAAAATTTAACTTCTTTGAATGAAATTTGGTTTATCTCAATGTATTTTGTAAATAAGTATGTGTATGATAATAATATACCTGACGCAGAAATTTGATATCTACACAAAAGCTAAGACTAATTACATGTATGTCAGATTTTAATTTGGGGGTTGCAGTACTTCTTTGAGCACCTGTCGCAAAATGATAGATAAAGTATAAGGGGGAGGAATTTTCACATCCCCCCAAAATTTGTTTAGACAGTACACAGTACAGTAAATATTTCAGCAGATTATGTGCCAGAAAAATATCTACCACATCATTTGATGAAATTTCCATTTGAACACAGTTTTGCGTAGGAATAATATAATTAATTCTCTTTATTTCTTTAATACAATTTTTGATAAAAGGAATTTATATTTAAAAGCATCCATCATGAGAGATATATTGCTTTCATAATTATTGATATGGTTTTGTTATAATAGTTTGCTAATTTGGAACTTTGGAGTTGTTGCGATCAATATATATCCTGCTTTTTATCCAAAATGTATATTTAAGACATAAACTTATTATTTTGGTTAAATAGTTTTAACCTGAAGAATATCAAATAAAACATATGTTACATGAAAAAAGAAAAGCCAACAACTCTAGGTGACATCTGAATTTCAAAATATTTATCTGGTAATTTAATAAACATTATGGAATAAGGTTAAGAAAAATATTTTAAACCAATCGAGTGGTTCACAAATGTCCAGCTGTAATCACAAGTTATTGACTTTGCAAAAGCAGTTTATCAGGATCTTGGTCAATTTAGCAGTCTATATATGGTTATTACAGCTTTAAAAGACAGTTATCAGAATATCAGGTCATGAATTTCAACTTTAATTAGTTATAGAAATATACTTGTATTGTTTAATTAGGGGGGTTGAATGACAGAATGGTTAGCATGTGCGCGCTGCATCATAAGGTCTGTCATTGAGTCAACTGGCGTGGTTTCAATTCTCCAGTTGTAGATGACAAGGAGTAGGGTCGCCTGTCAAACCTTGTGGGTTTTCTCCGGTTCCTCCGGTTTCCTCCCACTGCTAAAGACCCATATGCACAAGCGAATTATTGAAATAAAACTGAACCATATGTTATGCCCCAAATGACCTAGTCTGTGTCAAGTGGACATTAAACCTCATTTCTCTCTCTCTCTCTGTATTGATTAATCAATTTTATTTTCCCCTACCTTTTGAAGAAAGTGGAAAACAGGGGACTATTAAAATGGGTTTCATCTGTCTGTCTGGCACACTTTTTGTGACAAAATGTCTTTGGTTCTAATTGAGGTAGAAGGGTTATAATTTGTGTAATTGTTTAGCAGGTGAATGCCTTGACTTGAGGTCAATGATGAGCATTTTGTGCTTAGTCTAAGCTGAGATGAAGCAATTTCATTGGTTTAGGTTTTGCGACACAATAAATCCTTAGTGTTGATGTTTAGTAGCGAATGTTTTGACTGGGTTTGATGATGAGTATTTTCTGCTTAGGCTAAGCAGACATAAGCAATTTAATTGGCAGAGACTTTAGAACACAATAACTCTGCTTCTAACTGAGGGGAAGTGATTAAACTTGGTGTATAGTTTCATGTACAATATACCTTGATGAAATTCTGTGATGAGCATTTTCTAGTTATGTTATTAGGAGTGATAAACAATTTGATTGCTAGAGGGTTTATGAAAAGAAAATGTGCAAGGAATTATTGAATGTCATCATATTATTTTGGAACTGATTGTGGTGGGACATGATCCTCAACTGTTGGCTTGTTAAACATAATATGGCTTGAAAGATCTATGTTAAAAAATTATAAAATATAATTATTGATATGAATTGCAACTTAATAGAAGAAAAGGTAATAGGAGACATCAAACTATACAATTAAGGACAACTGTCTACGTTTTGTGTTAAAATATCGGTTTATTAAGGCAATTGTATCATCACTATTGAGATGCATGAAACCATAGAAGTTTGAAGTTTATGTTCACTCTGGATCATTTGTCTTACAGTTATGTGTATATGTATGCTTTCTTCAGACCTATATGATTTCATTACATGATCATAAATAATGTCATCATTTTAGGTCTGCATATTACATGTCTTAAGCAAGCTGTGTCTAGTCAAAATGATTTTTCAAGATAAACTAATGAGTATATAAGATACATTAAGTATTGCTGAGAAAAGATTATATAAACATGTCCTTAAGAGGTGTTTGATATTTAATGGGAAGAGTTTTAAAATTAAATTCAATCATAAGTGGATTTCAAAGCAAATTGCTTCTGGAGCAAAAAAGGTTTTATTCACGATAATTGAACAGTACTTTGAGTGATCTGTAAACATTGCTGTATACATTGATGACATTTTTTTTTCAATTTTCACGGATGCAAATTAAATTACAAGGTCAAATATAGAGGAAATTTCCCATCATTTAGCAACCATTATGTTACGATTACATAACTAACCCAAAACTGGTGCAATGTAGGTCTTATATATGTTTTATATATGATCTTGATGATGTTTACCGTTCTTGTCATTTTTTGTGGTGTCTAGAAAATAAGACTGTCAATAAACTCTTACATCGTGTTAGACATTTGAAATGGAAGAACATTTGAAGAGAATTTCCCAAGAATTGTTTTACTGCTCGATTCCATATTAGATATTTGTTATTAAGATTTTTCCTTTCTGGTCCACAAGAAGTGTAGTGTTGCTCAACTAAAAGACATTCCATTTAATTCTACTCATATTAAACAAAAATGTGGTCTGTGAACACATCAAGGATCCTAAGCAGTTGGAATTCAATTGCTGCCCATGTTAAAATTTGCCCCCTTCATTCCACAAGCAACCCTGATAATGAATACATAAATTGTTTAGTTTTAAAAGTAACTAAAATACCGGTAGTGTATTATTGACAGGTCTCCTAACCCATTCATACTTTTGCTAATTTAATTCTCTTCTTACCATGTTGAAATGAGCACCTGTTTATGAATACTGTGAGAAGTAATGTATAGTAAAATCATATAACTAAATGTATTTCCTCTCGATTTCATGAATATATAATATACAATACAAGAATTATAGACTTTAATGTATAGAATTTATATATTTGTACAATTGAATGATATCGGTAAATGTAGTAGATGACACATGCATGTAGGATTACGTTTTCTTGAATTGATGTAATATAATATTATTTGGGCAGTAATCCATTGAAATTGAATAGTTCATAAAGACTAGCCTTTCATAACATATTGATAAGCTATGCTTTACTTCTGTGAAAATTATTGACTTTTTTTCAAACGAATTAGGTCTCGGTCACCTAAACATGTGGATGACTTTTGAAATGAAATGAAATGGGGTTTAGCGTATACTGTTTGGCTCCAACTGGGGCTAATGAAGAAAGGCATACGCCATACAGTGTGCTCTGAGGGTAATGCCTGCGAACAGCGGCACTAAGGCCTACTCTTATATTGAATTCCAATGCCATGGGATCTTTACGTGTGCACCAATGTGTACACGTGTATGAACGACTATACATTCTTCTGCACCACTGACAAGTAGGAACCACGCCGGAAAATCCAGATGAATTTTCTCTGCCAACACCGGGATCTAACATGGGACCTCCAGGTTAGTGAACCAACATCTTACTCACTAAGCCACCACAACTTTTGAATTAGGCAAACAGTATCAAAGTTATGGGCATGTAGTTCATATAAGTTGTAAAGAAAGAATTAGTTTCAAGATTAGCACAAGACACAAGTCATTGATCAATCTGAAAATAGTTCTAAGATTTATTTCAAACTATATTTTGTGAAATATAATCAGTATTTCCCACTGAGATGTATTATTTTGAACTATTTATACTAAATTTAATAAATGGGATGAGAATAAATGAGATATAAAGACTTTAACTGATAGTTGGTGCTGTGCCAGATAGCAGTACAATAAGTTCCTATTTACAGTTACAGGATAACGAAATTTACCTGTATCTATGAAAGAAATACAAGTTGAGAGTTTACTTAACATGTATCTTTATCTTCCCCAAAGAAATGGACCTGCAAAATTCCAAAGTTACTTCCATGTAAATCACTCAACAGAGTTTAAATCTAGTGTTGACAGAAATTATTGTAATTAACCTAGTAGTTTACCTAACCACCACATAGTATTGTGCCATGGTTTGGATTAACCACACTTACAACAATTAAACTAGTATAAGGTTGTAACCACAGTCCTCCGCTGAATTAAATGTACACATGTACTGTAGTCTTTAATTTAGTCTACTGGTTATTATATTATTTTTTAGACATTTGGAATTTGAAACACTTAAAACATTGATAGCACTTTATAATTGAGTATGGATGTAGGTCCATTATCTAGCACACTGTTAAATATTGGCACTGTATACTAGTACATGAACGATACAGTTTCTATTTAGATTCTTTTTAATTGTAAGGGTTGTTTTGATTGAAAATTTAGAAGCAGTATTATCAGTAGGTCTACTCCATGGCTCAACACTCTATTAGTATTGGCACCCATTCTATGCACAAAACCAAAGATAAGTTTACTAAAAGGCTTTAGGTTGTAGCAAAAATTGGAACAGTCAATAATAATAGTATTATTGTAGTCG